AAGAAGCACCTGTTGATGATCCACTAGTCTCGGTTGAAGAACCACCTGTTGATGACCCACCGGTTTCAGTTGAAGATGCACCAGTTGAAGAAGCACCTGTTGATGATCCACTAGTCTCGGTTGAAGAACCACCTGTTGATGACCCACCGGTTTCAGTTGAAGATCCACCAGTTGAAGAAGCACCGGTTGATGATCCACCGGTTTCAGTTGAAGATCCACCTGTTGATGATCCACCGGTTTCAGTTGAAGATCCACCGGTTGATGATCCACCGGTTTCAGTTGAAGATCCACCAGTTGAAGAAGCACCGGTTGATGATCCACCAGTCTCGGTTGAAGAAGCACCTGTTGATGATCCACCGGTTTCAGTTGAAGATCCACCAGTTGAAGAACCGCCAGTGGATGACCCACCAGTGGATGATCCACCTGTCTCAGTTGATGATCCACCAGTTGAAGAGCCACCACTTGAAGAACCACCACTTGAAGAGCCGCCGGTTGAAGAAGCACCTGTTGATGACCCACCGGTTTCAGTTGAAGATCCACCAGTTGATGATCCACCTGTTGACGATCCACCAGTCTCGGTTGATGAACCACCAGTTGAAGAACCTCCAGTTGATGATCCACCAGTCTCAGTTGAAGATGCACCAGTTGAAGAACCACCGGTTAAAGAACCACCAGTGGATGATCCACCGGTCGATGAAGCGCCAGTTGATGAGTAAGTACTCGATGTGGACAATGAAGAACTTATAGTTGAGTAAGCACTACTTGATAAAGTCACAGTAGATATTGTTGTTGATGAAGACAAAGTCGAACTAGTCGCTGTTGAGGACAGTATTACTGAGCTGACAGCTGCAGTAGGATATACAGGAATTGAAGGACAAGCTATGCAAACGGAGTTCGAAGTACTACCGGAAGGCACTGTACCAGTATAAGTGACAGCTCCCTGGACAACTATTCCCAACAATCCACCAAAGTTGTAACTAATAATGGAAAATTTGGTGGAGTCATATCCCGAACCAATTTTAAATTTTTGATTGGAGAGCCCAAGATTATAGTAAATGATAAGTATACCTGTGGCAGAGGTGTAAGTAATAGAGGAGATAATTAAATCGATACCAATCACATTTCCTCCTCCGAAACCAGCAACTGTGAATGTTTGAGATAATGAAAGTCCAGCAACTCTTATTGCAGAAGTACTACTTGAAAGATAAATTGTTTGCGCTGTACTAACTGAAAGAAGAGAATTTGATATCCAAAGATTTGCGTTTACCCCCACGTTAATACATCCACTTCCAGTAATTGCGGTAGTTTGCTGCCAAACTTGCTCAATTAAACAAATTTGACCGTTGTTAGTTATACTTCCTAGAGCAGTACCCAAATTAAGATAACTACTAGATTGTGAATCCAGCAGGAATACAAGCACACCGCCAGCAGAGTTTGTCCAAGAAGCGGCAACAATCTCATAATTTGCACCAAGTGTAGAACCTAGGGTATTATAGTAAATTAACCCACTATTGATAAAAGTTGTGGATATGAGGTTGAATGTGGGTCCAGTTAATCCATTTTCTGAATTGAATACTATGGTTCCAGTATTTGAGATTGTATTCAAAAGACCAGTACACGTAATGTCTAAAGAAAACAATGAATTTGTAAGTGTAATATAAAGCTCACCGTCGTTATATATACTTCCGAGAAAGGTGTCAGTAAATGAATTTACAATAGACCAGTAAACACCAGCATTTATATCGACATCGCCAAGTAAAACAACAGTACCAACAGTAACAGTGTCGCTAGTGATAGTTTGAGCACTTGCTATCTGCAGAAAAAGAGATAGAGAGCTTACTGCAAGCACTGCAAGCTTGTCTAAAATACGCATCTCTGATGATTTCCAATCTTAAGCTTTATGAATAAGAAATATACTACATGTTTTATATTATTCAGATATGGTAGTGAAGTTGCAATTAAAAAAAAAAATAGAGCTATTCAATTTTTATTTTACGGTTGAGAGCCCTTTGGTGGTGAGCCGCGTTTTGTGCATGTACTCGAGGCAAGGAAATGTTTTTAAGCATCAGAAGGATCTGCAGAGAAAGAAAAACACTACATCAACTATCTCCAATAACAATATTTAATGATTTAAGAATTAAAGTTATCTTAGGCTGTCAATGTTTACTGCAAAATCTTTATGGCATTTGAAAAGTAAAGATTCACTAGAAAGTAGTTAACAAATGAAAAAAGCAGCAATTTTTTCAAGATTTGTATAATGCATGAGAGAATATGTATGCAAAGGCTCTTTATCCTTGATTGACACATCCAACATGCATGCACAAGTGCTTACTGCATCCCTAGGTAACATGCTCTTTCCCAGTTCTGAAAGTAGACGCAACTGGCAGAAAGTTTTCTTTTTGAAGAGTTCACAATCCAAATGTGTATAAGTCGACTTGATGAAAACTGATTTCTTTGGGCCTGATTCTAGGTCGTATCTGTTAAGCCACATCTGGCTAGAGGGAACAATAAGCTGCAGCACCCTGTTATAAGGATTTAAAAATATAATAATTTATTAATGCAATGGCTTACTTGATAATAATTTGCTGATTTTTTCAAGATTGTGTAATGCGTTTGGGGGCAATATGGCTCTGCTTACTGATTGATACTTGCAAAATATTCACGCACAAATGCTTAATACATTCCTAGATAAAGATTGTTTCTTTCACAGTTATTGGCTGAATATGACATGCAATTCGCCAATCTTTTTTGTGGAGAGGCTCAAAAGTTCAGGAGTGTATAAGTCGAACTCATTTCAAAACCGATTTTTTGAGAGTCGGGTTCGTATATTCTTTTCTTAAACTGTATCTGGCAAAGGTGAACAATGAAGCTGCAGCACTCTACTATAGGGAATAAGAAATCTAATTGTTTACTTAAGCAATTACGTGATAGATAATAAACTGCGACAACACTATTTACGAAGAAGACTCCATCAGTAGCCAATGGTCGCTCCTAACAAATCAGAGAAACTAAAACATCGGCCTTGCAGATATTTCATATAAAGATTTCCAATTTGCGCCTTTGCATCATGGCGTAACTCATCATTTGAAGATGTGTTTAAATTACACTAGTCTGTAAGACCTCAATATTTTTTCCAATGCATCGACTTTATGATTTTTATCACTAATTCGGAAGATAGATGCTTGATTTGGTCGAAGGTGGTATTTTTTAAGACAATCATGCTGGCACAATTCTGAATCACACTTTCCAATTTATTATTCTGATGAGACTCTTGCATAACAAGTTCTAAAGAAAGAGGTTTATTGGAGTAATAGCATTCGTTGTAGTTGGATTTGATCCACTTTCCGAAGGAGTTGCTCTGTAAAGAAAGAAAATCTAACCTAGAACCCAGCTAGCTTTAAGATATCTATTTCACTAAGTTTATTCAACTTCTCATACGTTCTCAATGTTTTCTTTTTCTAGTGGGTAACATCTAATTACTGTTACAAAATTACGAGATGCTTCACATATTAAAAATATGCTTTCAGCTCAAATTAGTTCCGCTAAAACCTGCTGATTCAAATATCCCTCGGCTATTACATATAACCCCTGTGTCCATAACTACTCTAATTTCTAACCAATAAACCTAGGAATCTCATTTCCAGTTTTGACAACTTTTTTTTATCGTGAGGTGACGCATTAGCTATTCCTCAATAAAATTCCCAGATACCACCTGGTTTTCTTTAGAGTATCGTCCTGACCTCAGTTATAATGGAAGATTCTACATGAGGCTAACTATGTATGCCTATTCGAGTACTAATTATTTTGCAAGGGTGCTGGTGTGTTCCAAGGGCATACTAATATCGAACAATAGAAGTCGGTCTGGTTATGTGCACTGCGAGGGAGCGTTACTGCTGCATAAAATAACCCCGTGCGTGCTGCATAATTCACCCTGAATTGTTTAGCTACCACTTAAACTTCCGCAGCGAACAAAATGGATACTGAAATTGTTAAGCGAGATAGTAAGAAATAGCTAGTAGGAATCGCTACAGCTTTTGTATAGCTTGATTTAAGTAACTAGAATCTTGTTCTACGTGTGTCCTGTACACCTCCCAAATTGCATACAGTAGGTATTCCGGAAGATGCAGCTGTAGTTTTCATGCAATTTTGTCGTATATTTTTACCTTAATATCTAAAAATATTTTTTTAGTTTAGAGGAGTGCAAAAACAATATTACTAGTATTTTTTTAGCACAATCGTTGTACGTCAGCCGCACTTCATGCATAAAACTACAATTTTATATATTCACTGCCCAGCATTTAACTGTTGGTTATTAAAACTTCTCAACATTATAAAATAATCTATGTGAAATATTCTTTAGCATGAATTTATCTAGTGCTTTCTGTCATTAATGGCTGCGAGACGTTTCTATATCATACTATAATTATAGGAAGGATTCCTTGGTAGCTCTCATCGTCATTTAATGAGATACTTTTAGGATTATTTTGACATTGATCTCACTTGACACAGAAGAAGTAAACTCCAATCTGCATTCAAGAATGCAGTATGAGCCCCCCTAGGGATATCATGAATTTGCTTGCACGTTGCATGAGATATTTTATTTGAAGTCCAAATCTTTTTGAACGTAGTTTAAATGTTCTATTAATCATATTTTTGAAGCACAGGGAAACATTGAGAAGATACGATACAATGCATTTGGTTACTAGATGGATCTCAAAAAATTAAAGAAGATTACCAAAAAGCTTAAATTAAAATTTAAACTTTTGACAGCCGATACTTTAAAACACCTATGCAAAAAGACATTGAGTACCAGTGTTTCAGTAAATACTGGTAGATAAAGATAGGAGATGTATTGCGCTCTAAATTCATCGAAGTATTACAATGCACTAGCGGTGATACAGTTTGATAGTGAAGTTTAAGGTTTAAGTAACCGACATTTTATGAAGAGCTGCGCGAAATGACTCTTGAAAGAGGCAGAGATTCAGTGAACATGGGCTGATAAAGATACGTGATGTGCTGTGTTCTACATCGAATTATTATGCAGAAATGATGATAAAATTGATAGTTCCAGAAATTCCGTGTTTTATGACATCATGTAATATTAGTTTCATGTATAGTTCGAAATGCATTAACAAGTAAATCATTATCGTAAAGCAAGTTACAGGGTTATAATGACGCAGTCATTGCTAACTCATAGCTCAATGATCTATTAAGAGAGAAGATAATCGCTTCTGACCTTTAAAAAAAACATCAGGGTATATCTTATTATTATCATTCCCTTCTTATTAAGCTAATACTCATGCATCTGAATGCTTTGGTTATTTCACTCAAATTCAAAGGGATAAGGCTAGCCCCAAGTGAATTTCACATTTTCCTAGGTGAGACTCCTTTACAACGGTGCATGAACTAACGCCAACTTAAAGACACTCCAATTTCATGATAGGCTGTTGATGTCACTACTTGTATTATTACTTGTCCAATGATTCTTGCTTCCACCATCCATCTTGCGAGCAAGCGGGATTTCTTCCAGAAAATATGCAGCAGGGTGTCATATTACGAGAATTTACTATGGTGAAAATAGAACAATTTTTTGAAATAAACAAGTCATCTCGCATACATAATACCGCTTCTGTCTACAATTTACACTTAAGTCTCAAAGGTACTCAAATTTCTTACTTGCCTTATCCTTCTGGCTCTTCATGCACATCTATGAATATGTGCATGAATCAATGTATTTGGGGAAGTGAAAACAATGTGGCTTCCAAAGGCAGCATTTGACACGATATGTAGCCTCTTTGTGCATCCGTATTGAAAACAATAGCATCCTTTTTGACAATATTTTTTAGCTTCTTCCGATGAATGCATTGCGTAAAGAAGTAAAGAGTCTTAAGCATAAAGGGGTTTAGCCCTGCCTACATTTTTATTTTATCTGTTAGATTTTACCCTACGCTCGCGTCAATGCCTTTGCAGTAATTTTCCTGCATGCCGCAGCATGTGATAAGGTGCAACACAAAAGTGAATTGAATATCACGATTGTCTGGGACATCGAGAGGGTCAATTAGTCATAGTAAAAAGTCAATTTATTGAAACAATCTTCCACTAGCTCATATTTTTTCAAGCCGTAAATATTTTTAAATTAAACTTTCACTATGGAAATGGTACAATAGTCTCCAAGAAAAATGTTCTTGAGGCTGAAAAAAAGTGCTGCATGACAATTTCAAATACGATCAATTGAAGTGCATGACAATCTCAAATAAGATTAGCTTAACACAATTTATCCTGAAAATTGTGCGCCTCGCCGAATATGGACTGAAGAGTGATCAACTGGAGCTGAAACCTTTAAAATATCTGCCAGAAAATATCTAGAGATATTTTTTATATTGTTGCTATTGCTGAGGAACTGAATAATATTGGATCTATTCTGTAGTTCTTGCTAGATGTCCCTCTCACGTATTTCCCCACAAAGAGTTGGATTGAAATTTGCAAAAATTGAACACTTCACAATTCCTGATTTTTTTTGCAATTTTTTTTGAAATTTGGAATAGTTGAGATGGGTTGGCACCTAGAATGAATCTATCTGTATACTGTTTTAGTATTAAAATATTACAAGGCTTAAATTAGTATATGATAAGGCTTATTTTTTATGTGATGGTCGGTGTCTTTTCTGTATGATAAGAAACTCAGAGGAATCGTTTTTCACCAGTGTGTGTCAAACTTATTAGGACGCCCGATAAGTATCTCTGCAAGGTTGTCGCACCACTGCTACAGTTTGATTATCATAATTCATTGACGTGGTACATAAATAGGTGTATGTGTTTACATATGTACTCTACGCTACCTCACATATCCATGATTTTACGTTCAGTTCACTCTGTGGATGAAAAGCTAACTTATTCAGGCAACGGTTATAGAGATACCTACTCCGATTATATCGATAACCTTTCCTATCATATAAATAACTGCCTATATTCGCGGCTAAGTAATCTGTATTTAGCTCGCTAACTCCCACCTACAAAACTACATCCCACAGAACCTATATTTTAGAAAAGTCTGGCGCCACCAAATGTTTTTAAAATCCAATCTCTCTATGTGAACTGTATCTGCTGCAACTGCTCTTCTTTAAACGAATATCGCTTAACTACTTCATTATACGTAAGCATACGCTACACTATTGTTACAGGCTCCAAACTTACAATCCAGCTTACATTTATGTCCCAAAAAAATACACCCAAAAAACCAAAAGCATTTTGGAACTTAACTATCCCTTAGTATTTCTTGTCGGAGGCAATAAAGGCCACACACATGTTGTCTTAGCGATGGTACGTACTTCGTCTGGCCATTATCTAATTATACCTAATATTCTTTAATTCTTAATTACAAAAATAACCCGTTGTTCAAGAACAGCTTTTCCGATGGATAATAGAGAAATGACGACTTTATTTGGACTTCAGATTTTTCGAGCTATACTTAGTTATTGAAGGTTTCTTTCGAGAATAACTCCATTTTTTATAGGCTTGATGCTTGTCTTAGCGTAGAGTGTATAGTTCAATACATGCGCTTATGTTGTCAGCGCAATTCATCTTGTATTAAAAAAGTGGCTTACTTTCTAAACTTAAAATTTTTAGAAACAGAATCATGTAAAGCCGCTAAACCAGTCGTTTATCCAGTCGTTTATTGTATCTTTTTTTCCACTCCTACTCTAATATGATGTGAAGCTCATAATATATCGGTGTTTGATTATGTACTCTTTCTGGTCGTTTCTGATTGTTTTAGAGCAAATGTGGACTTCAAACACCAGGAACAAAGTTTTTGTTTGAATTCTTCGTAAGAGTTAGCCCAGATGGATGATAAGTGAAAGTTTTACATAATGGCAAGCTAAGTTAAGTAGTAAGCTGTATTACCTTGATCTTTCTCTCTATATGCTACGAAACATTTTACTCGTGATCGTTCTACAGGCCTGATATGAAAATCTATTTCATGCATCTATTTAAATTAAGATATCGAAGTATAAACTGGAATTGAAACAATCGAAAAATATATGGCCCACTAATATGGAAAGGGTATTTAATATAAAATGTAATAAAGGGGGGTCGAAAAATGACTCCTTGATAAAAATCGGAAGAATTTAAATTGACCGCTATGAATAATCTAGCTTAAAGCGTGATTATGAATAACGTCAAGATGAAAGGTAAGTATTTGCTACCTCTATCTGAAATTGCACTATTTGAATAGGATGTAGTGATACTGGAGAATGGATAACTGGTAAAGGTTGATCCTAATTCTGAAACACTTGAGCTACTTGAGCCGCTTGATCCTCTTGATGCACTTGAACCTGATTCTGAACTTGGTCCACTTGGTCCACTTGGTCCACTCGATCCACTTGATCCACTTGATGCACTTGATCCACTTGATCCACTTGATGCACTTGAACCTGATTCTGAACTTGATCCACTTGATCCACTTGATCCACTTGATCCACTTGATCCACTTGATCCACTCGATCCACTTGATCCACTTGATCCACTTGATCCACTTGATCCACTTGATCCACTTGATCCACTTGATCCACTTGATCC